CATTTTCCAGCGACTTTTTCCGGTGACTTCTCGTTTATGCAAGTTTTAATCTTTTTCTTCCAACTTCGATCAAGCATGCGTTAGGGATGTGAGTACTTACTTTTAAGCCTTGTGATCTCGATTTTCGTACTTACTTGCTATCTCGTGCGTAGAAGTAATTAGGGCTTGCTCGATTATTGGATTTTTAGTAGCTATTTTAGTTAATTTTCATTTCCCTTGCTTTTGTGAACTCGTTTATGATGCTTGGAGTTGATTGATTGATTGATTGCTATTAGAAAAATCGGGACTTCATATTTAGCTCGGTTATTTCGTGGTAGGATTTCGATTTTAGCTATCAAGCATGTTAAATGGAGTTCGATTCTCTTATTTTCGCTTTTGTTGCCCTTGACTTTGTGCACTGGTTTAGTTGCTAGAGTTTGTAGTACGTTCATTTGCTCGTTGCTCGTTTAATTGCTTTCACTAGTCGTAATTTGTTTTAATCATCTTCAACCCAAATTGATTAGTATGTTTAGGACTTTATTTTCCATTTTTGTGATTTGAACGATTGAATAGTGAGTAAAGCTCCGAATAGCCTTCCCTCGGGATCGACCCGAGTCGGGTAACTCGGTTATCCTTTGCCCATCAAATTTATATTAAACAAATGGCGCCGTTGCCGGGGATGGCAAGTAGGACGCCTACTTTGCTATTTGATTGTTCCTTTTTCTCGTGTTTCTCTTGTTTCGTGTGATTTTGCTTAATTTCCGTATTTCTCTTTATTTCTCTTGATTTGTAGGTAATTTTGTTTTAGTTTGTGTTTTCAATTTCAATTTTTCCCTTGCTTTCCATTGGTGCGTTCACGGGTATAGTTTGTGGTTTTGTTTATGCGAGGTAAACGAGGGCGTAAACCCCGAGAGGAGCCACCGCCATTCGACCTCTTCGTTGAACTCAATATCGAAGAACCACAACCCGAGCCCGAAATCGAATCAATGGCGGGACAAGAAGACCAATTGCCACCACCACCTCCCCCGAACATGAGGTATTTTGCACGGCCTATCATTGGAGACAACACTTCATGTCTCTTGCTCGGGAAGGCGGCTCGAAACTACGACCTTAAGATCATCCATCTAAACCAACTTTTGTCATTCTATGGCCTCGCCCAAGAGGATGCCCTCAATTTCATTCGAGACTTTTATGCAACCGTCAACACATTCCCTCTCCAAGGACTAACCGAGAACCAACTTCGAATGAGATGCTTTCCCTACATGTTGAAGGACCGAGCCAAGACTTGGTTCATGACCTTGCTCCCAAATTCGCTCACAAATTGGGAAGTCGTGTACGAAAAGTTTATGGCAAAGTACTACTCGCATCAAAAGACTACCGATCTCGGGACCCAAATCGCAAGCTTTAGCCAAAATGTCGGGGAGACCTTCCACGAGGCATGGGAGCGGTTTAAGGGATATCAACTTCAATGCCCCCATCATCACTTTTGCCTCGGGGTGCTAAATCAATTTTTCTATGATGGTCTCAACCAAACCCTCCAATATATGGTAGACCATGCGGCCGGAGGAGATATTGGGAGTCACACGGCCGAGAAGATTTTCGAGCTTTACGAGATGTTGAGTGAGAATTCCCAACGGAAGAGCGTATGTAAGAGGACCCCCGTAAATGAAGCTACACCATCCACCGGGTCTTCGAACGATGCCGTTCTTGCCAAGCTAGCCTCGTTGGAGGAGGAACTTAAACAACTAAGGTTGAGAGATGCGAAGTCCACTCAAGTCGTTATGGCTGAGGTGCGTGGTTGTTGCGGTGAGACGGGGCATGGAGGCCGTGAGTGTCCACACTACATGGAGTCAGCTTATGATCCTAATCTTGAAGGAGTTCCATATGATATCAATGCCATTCAAGGGTATGCCCCTCGGGTTCAAAATGACCTTTATTCGAACACGTACAATCCCGTGTGGCGAAACCACCCTAACTTCTCATGGCGGGACCCAAAAGTGGGGTATGCACCCCAACCGTCTTCACAACAAGCCTACTCCCAACCTCAACAATATGCACCACCCAACAACCGACCACCATTTCAACTGAGGCCTGAATTTCAAGGATATCAACCGAGGCCCGAGTTTCAAGGGTACCAACAAGGGCGTGGGGGATTTGTCCCGAGACAACCAATGCCACCTCCACCGGAGCTCGAAAAAGAATTAAAGGCACCTACCTCGGACCCTCGAATTGACAACATGGAGAAGTATCTTCAAAGCCTCGCTTCAACCGTGTCCACCCTTCATGAAACGGTTAAGGGCGTACCTTCAATCCAAGCTTCTCTCAAATGCCTTGAGACACAAATGGGAAAACTTGGGACGTCCATTGGTGAGATGCAAAGAAACAACAAGAAAGACCGACTCCCGAGTCAACCCGAGCAAGCCCAAGCCGTGACGGTCTTACGAAGTGGTAAGGTGGTGGATAATCGAGTTGAGATGCCTAATGACGTGATGGTTGAGGATGTTGATGAGAAGGATGACGAGAAGGAGTTGAACGTTATGACGGATTCCGGGAAGAACAAGCAGGTGATGATCGAAGAGGAATCGAAGGAGAAAACCAAACCCGATAGCCTTGATACCTTGCACAAATCGGCTACACCATATCGCCCACCGGTACCTTACCCGAGTAGACTCCAAGACACCAAGAGGAACCGCCAATTCAAGGATCTACTCGATATGCTTTCCAAGGTAAATGTGAACCTTCCTCTACTTGATGTGATAAAGAATGTGTCGGCTTATGTTCAATTCTTTAAAGACCTGGCCTCGAAGAAAAGGAGGTTTGAGGATAATGAAAAGGTGATGATCTCCGAAGTTGCTTCTACCATGATTCCGAGGAAAGAATGTGACCCCGGGGGTTTTATGATCAAGATAACCCTCGGAAACGGGAAAGAGACGAATGAAATGCTTGATTTGGGAGCCGGGATCAACCTTATGCCATACTCGATTTTCAAGCAATTGGATTTGGGAGATCTCAAACCCACGAGGATGTGTTTGCAATTGGCGGATTGCACATTAAGCTACCCAAAGGGAGTTATTGAGGATATTTTGATTCGGGTAGGTAACTTGATTGTTTCGGCGGATTTCGTGGTACTTGACGTGGGAGAGGTCCCAAATACCGGGAATGAGCACACCATCTTGCTTGGCCGCCTGATTATGGCCACCACCAACACTCTTATCAATGTCAAAGACGGGCGAGTCACCTTATCGGCTCTCGGTAAAACGGTCACTTTTACAATGAGCGAGGCAAAGACAACACCGTCGTTCACCGAGAGTTGCTCTTATGTTGATGTGATCGAGGCAGAGGTCCACAATATTTTCCATGCCGATGTCTCTTGTGATTGTGGAGTCCCCGACGGAGAGGAGCCGGAGAAGCTTGATCCCGAAGATGAAGGTGTGGTGGACCTTATTAAGATATCCAAAGAACCCGAACCCTGGGAAATTTTGACCGAGCTTAAACCATTACCACCACACCTCAAGTATGTCTTTCTCGAAGGAAATGAGAAGAAGCCCGCCATCATATATTCGGGACTCTCGAATGAAGAAGAAAAATTACTTGTGGAGGTCCTCGTGGCGAACAAGGATGCCCTCGGGTGGAGTTTGAGTGATATCAAGGGGATAAGCCCGGCCACATGTATGCATCGAATTATTCTTGAGGATGAGTCAAAGCCTATCCGGGAGGGTCAAAGGCGACTGAGTCCTACATTGATGGAGGTGGTAAAAGAGGAGATTCTTAAATTGTTACAAGAAGGGATCATCTATGCCGTGGCGGTTAGTGAATGGGTGAGCCCAGTACACGTGGTCCCGAAGAAAACTGGAATCACGGTTGTGGAGAACAAAATGGGCGAGCTTGTACCGACAAGAGCCACAACGGGGTGGCGCATGTGTATCGACTTCTGAAAGCTCAATGCCGCCACAAGAAAGGACCACTTCCCTTTGCCGTTTATTGATCAACTTCTCGACAAGCTAGCCAGCCACCCCTACTATTGTTTCCTAGATGGATTATCGGGGTACTACCAAATCCCGATTGCCCCGGAGGATCAACCGAAGACCACCTTCACATGCCCGTTTGGCACTTTTGCCTTCTGAAGGATGCCATTTGGACTGTGTAACGCTCCCGCCACTTTTCAAAGGTGCATGTTTTCTATCTTTTCGGATATGATTGGTGAATTCATTGAAATATTTATGGATGATTTTTCCGTGTTTGGTGATTCATTTCTTGATTGTCTTGACAAGTTGAGCAAAGTGTTGAATAGATGCATTGAGAATAATTTGACTCTTAGTTGGGAAAAATTGCATTTTATGGTTCCTAGTGGTAATGTGCTTGGTCATGTAATCTCATCTAAGGGTATTGAAGTTGATAAAGCTAAAGTGGATGTGATTGAACAACTACCACCACCTTTGAATGTTAAGGGAATTCGTAGTTTTCTCGGGCATGCCGGTTTTTACCGGAGGTTTATTAAGGATTTTTCGAAAATAGCCCGACCATTGTGTGCCTTGCTTGCTCTTGGCGTGCCTTTTGATTTTAATGATGAGTGTTTACATGCCTTTAATGAATTGAAACAAAAATTAGTTACGGTACCGATTGTGATGCCCCCGAATTGGTCCCTACCTTTTGAAATTATGTGTGATGCTTCAAACTATGCGGTGGGGGCCGTTTTGGGGCAAAAGGTCGATAAATGCCATCACGTGATTGCATATGCTAGCATGACCCTAAATGATGCTCAAATCTATTACACCACCACCGAGAAAGAATTTCTAGCCATTGTCTTTGCATTAGAAAAGTTTCGTG